GATATAAATCTATTTCTTACTCAGACTTTTGCCAGAATGTTTTTGTCTTTTTACTTTTTTCCTGCATAGAAACTTGTGAATTCGCATAAAATCCTTTGTTTAACCATCTGAAATCTAATACTCATATAATATAATATTCACAAATTTAGTCTCTATCTCACAGAAAAGAAAAATTATCTCCATGGTAAAATGTTAATCACTTAATATTGTGTACATAAATATTCACTGCTTATTTGCTTTAGCCTAACCAGATACTGAGATTTTTTTACCCCCGAGTCACTGAACTCCGAACAAAGACTTTGGCGCACACACACTCAAGAGTTCCTACTACAGTGTACAGCTTATAAATATAACACTGAGGGCCATGTCTATCAGAAGGTTTATCGTCCGTAACACTTAAATATGCAAAATACATAACATGTTACCTTTTCTAGCATTTCTCTGAAAGTGTAGTGTTGCTCCTCATACACTGACACTAATGCTTCTTTCTCACCCCATTGTTCTGCTGCTTTCTGTGCTAACTGCCCCAATGTGAGGGCAAACAGTGGTTCAGCACCTGGGCGGTGAAGGTAGCTTGGCTTGTACGTTGAGACTGGTGATCTGAAAAAATATAAAGTAGGCATTTTAACCCACTGGCCAAGACTACACGAATTTTTCGTAACTCCGCCAAAAATCTAGGAGACAGATTATTTAAAAAAAATACCTAAGATGAGAAATTTGCATGTCTCGTTAACAAAAATAACAACTGAAGCTTCTACCCATTGAGAGGTAGAGTTTTGCTGTGCTTGCTTAATTACCATCTCATGCAGATATATGGGAGAGTGGAGGTACAGCTCCAGCATTCTTTACCATGGCACTAGATGGAGCTGAGTTGTAGCTTCAAACCCCTGGTACCCACTGGACAGGCATCTGGGTTTGCCCCTGATGCTGAGGAGTAGAGGAATAGAACCCCAGCCACACAAGTCATAACCTATTGACATACTTAGCGAGTGATCCTGCCTCCTGAACCATCCCCATACTTCACGGATATTCCTCTTCCTGTATTCTAGAAAGGTGAAGAGTCTGGGGTCTCCTCTAAAAGAAATGCCAATGAGATACATAAAAAGATGGGAAAATAATAACAAGAAAGGAAGGAGACAAAGGCACAAACCAAACAAAAACCTTTTTTTTAATTTGCTTAGTGAGGCGTGGAGTCAAACTAGGTCCACTCGGCACGGCGGCCACTGATTGGTCTATTGTAGCCTACCCCGAGTGATTATGATGGAGAATTTGGTGGAATGAAGATTGGCAGGGGACACCTAAGTACTCGCAGAAAACGTGCCCCAGCGCCACTTTGTCCACCACAAATCCCACTTTACCAGACCCCGGGATCGAACCCGGGAAGCAGCGGTGGGAAGCCAGCGACTAACCACTTGAGCTATGGTGCGGCCAAGAAAAACTCCGTGGCCTGTAGTCCGCAAGCGAACTATAACGACTGAGCGACCGCTGCTTATCGGCGAAGTTATTGTGGTCTAGTGGTCAGAGTTCCTGGCTACAGATCCAGAGGTCAGGATTCCTGGCGCTACCAGATTTTCTGAGAAGTAGTGGGTCTGGAAAAGGATCCACTCAGCCTCGTGAAGATAATTGAGGAATTATTTCAAGGAAATAGCGGTTCCGGTCTATAAAACCGAAATTAACGACCGTAGGAATTCGTTCCGCTGACTACGCGACACCCTCTATACGCTAAAGTTGGAGACAAAGACACAAAAGGAATAAAGGGTGAGGGACAAAAGGAATGTTATAAAGTGAAGGAGACGGATGAAGGAAGGGGGAGATGAATAATTAAAAAAAAGCAGCTAAGGACGTGGATGAAAAAGCAATATGAATAGAACAGGGAAGGAGTTGGTGAGATGAAATGGATAAAGAAAAGGATGTTCGACTTCAATCTTTGATTGGTGATGCATTAGTTATAATAGGAAGAAAATTCTAAGCACCATGGCTACCTAGGTCACTGAACTTCTGCAAGCCTGCCATTATCCCAAACGGACGAAAAAACGCGCTCTTCTGTTCTGTTTTCCGAAACTATTACAACTTGCTGAAATGGGAAATATTAGGAACAGGTACAGTCGTATCAAACGGAAACCGAAACAAAGAAGAACCTACTTTCGAATCTGAGCAAGACGATTTTAAATTTAAAATTGTTTCGCTTAGATGAATAGTTGGCCACTAAGGGCAGTAGATCAGAAACATCTGGAAAGCTTCGAAATGTGGTGTTGGAGAAGGATGGAGAAGATCAGTTGGACCGATTATGTGAGAAATGAAGAAGTGTTAATTAGAGTCAGTGAGCAGAGGAATATCCTACACGAAATAAGAAAACGGAAGGCTAATTGGATTGGTCATGTTTTACGCAGAAACTGTCTTCTAAAAGAAGTTATTGAAGGAAAAATAGAGGGGCGGATAGAAGTGACAAGAAGACGAGGAAGAAGACGTAAGAAGATGCTGGATGACCTTGGAGACACAAGAAGATATTTTCATTTGAAGGAGAAAGCTCTAGATCACATCAAGTGGAGGAACTGTTTTGAAAGAGACTGTGGACCTGTCGTCTTGACAGATTACTGATGAATGAATGAATGAATGAATGAATAGATGAACAGAGTCGGTATAGCTACTGGCCAAGGGCTGGACTACTGACGGTTCGGAGTTCGAGTCCTGTTAGAGTCACGAATATTGTCTTCTCTACGTCGTTCAGGCCGTTTCTGGGATCCATCACAATTCCTATCCAATGGATACTGGCGGCTCTATCCCTGGCGATAAAGCGGCCGGAACCGTGAAACTCACTCACTTTCAGCTAGTGCCGAGGCCAAGAAAAATGGATCTACATATCCACTCCCCTACATGGCGTAGTACTTAACTAGTTAAGTAAAGGAACAACCTTACTTTTGAAGAAAGCAGTCTTCT